ACACAAATCCATTATGCCCAAATCATGTCTTTAAAGGGCAATACATCCCAGGGGCCATAGTCACATGGCAGGAGGCTGGCAACCAGGCTTCTCCAGTGCATAGTGGTGAGGTTGGTTCCGCCACACGCACCCTGGTCACTAAGGGGTTAAACGCGTTTGGCATACAACACCCATAATCTTTTTTGGCCGGCCACGTGACACGGCATCATATTCGCGTGTCATGTGATCAGTCTATTAAATTCAAAATAACTATTTTTTAACCTTAGTTTCTAAACAAAAATGAAAGGATCACCTACTCATAATGCAAGGTTTTCATCTATAACTCTTCTAATTTGTTTTATAATGTATATTTTAATTTTCTGTCTCATGCTGATGGTGTCATTTTGGCGACAAAAATTGAAATTACCATATTGTATGTATTGCCTATATATACCCTAATGTAACAGGTTATATGATTCTATCACCATTTGAAAAAGCCCTGTGTTGGCAAAATGCGTTTGGTTTGTTTTTAAAGCCTAATGAATTATTAAAGGAAAATTGGCCATTTTATCCTGTTGTGCCATTTACCCGTTTCTTTTTATCCTTTTTTATTCATTTTAACCTGGTCACCTAGAATTTTAGAGAACAACTCACCAAAGAATACAAGGTGAGGATTATACCACCTACGCCCTAAAAAATTGAGCCGTAGTTCCTGCTCAACAAAGTGTATTTTATGTACATTTTATGCAGAGAGCACTATTTTGCCTTGTTTTTTTCCTTTTTGGGACACCCGAACTCTGAAAAATCTGTGAGTAGTCACCTATATCCCGCCAGATCAACGCCACTGAATGTGAATCACATCAGATCTTATACTAGCTTCAAAGTTTGTGAGTAGGACTATTACGCTCTATACACCACTCATCATCTGTTTGTGACATACTACACTATATCAGTCTTTTCTTCTTTTTCATGGTTAAAATGGACTGAAAAAGGAAGAATCTTCAGATTCCCCCAAGAAAATCAACATGATTAAGGTCCTTATTTATTGTACCTCAAACCTTGGACTTTTTTATTCACTTTTTATGTTTTAATTTCCCATTGTTTCTGCATTTGAAAGTTTCTGATTGTTATTTTACTGATCGGTATTTTTATCAATATTATAATATTATTTACCTGTGGTGCAACCTATTTTATTCTATTGTGTACGCCCTTTTACTTAGAGGTTTATGAGGGAGCCCCATATTTTAGGATTTGCTGCCTGTATTCACAGATTTTCTGACTGGTCACTCAGCGCTGATCCATTTGTTGTGTATTTACTCTTTTTACTCTACAATTGTCTAGCCAGCTACAATTTGAGTTATCTTTTATAACACTATTTTAACTTAGCTACACTATGTAGTTAAGCATGTTCTCATACATTATCTTTATGCAACTAATATCTATGTCTGGGAAGTCTTGCTAAAATTTTCACTTAGATACTCACTTTATACATAAATGCCTAGCCTGAATATACCAAAACATAAAATTAGTGCTGTACTCTCACAATGCCACATGTTTATTTGACTGTTATTGTGGATGTGCTTGCCTTGGTTGTTGGGGCATTGCATGCTTATTTGCATTTTTGTTTATGCACTGCAAAAATAAAGAATAAAAAAAAAAGTAATTTTAAGAGGTGTTACAGGCACGCTATAGTATCAGGAATACAAACATGTATTCCGGACATTATAGTGTTAATGTCCCGCCTCCATGGCTGAAATCATACATTTTAAAGATCTCAGTCATTCCATTGCTTTCCTATAGGAAAGCATCAGAAGGCTATTACATATGCACAATGCTGATTGAGACAATCCCTTTAGCTGTGAAAAAAGTGGACAGCAATCTTAATAGGTAGCCCTTAACTAATCAGCTATACCTTTATTTTTGTTATATAGTTATATAGAATCACATGATTATCAGCATCTATTTTATAAAAAAAACATTTCACATTGAGTGATTATAAATTAATTTCTTATATGCATTCTTTGACAATCTTTCTTTTATTGAGTCAAGAGAGGTATACGTTACAGAGAAAGAAAAAGGAAGCATAACAATAATACACATATCGGATAGCAATTAAATATACTCCTATTGCAGAACAGCCTAATTTTTAAGAATAATAAATAATAACCTGGAAGCTTTTATGCTAAGTACATGTTGTAGGCACAATGGGCTGCAAGAACCTTTATGTAAAGCAACATGCTGTAGCCTGGACCTCAGTTAAACTGAGTTAAATATTATACTGTGTATCCAGCTAACAATAGCAAATGAGCTTTAATACCACTGGGCACGTATCGCTATTAAACAAATAAAGAGGAAAAAGCTTAATGGCTCTGCACTATTAACAGGAGTTATATAAACCACTGGGTCTTAAGATTTAACTATAGCAGATACTCAATTAGGGTACATCAACATTAAATAACAGCTGGATAGTTGCAGGTAAGTTGCAAAGTTTGGTTACTGATGATACCACCAAGCTGCAAGCGTGTATGGAACTCAGTCAGCTGATTCCTGATGGAGGGTCCAAACACTGCCACTCTCTGCTACCTGGGAACATAAATAGCATAGTAGGACATCTTGGCTCTTGGCCGGATACCGTGGCTGCTGACTGCAGGTCTTGTGGACCCAGGAGCTTATGTAGTGGGTAGCTGATGCAAGTTGATTGTACAAAGGGTGTGCCTGCTTGCCTGCCCGCTATGGGGACGAGCCAAGGCTCATATGAGGGTCAGAGTGAAGGCTTCTTGTGCCTTCTCCCCCACAGTACCAAACCAGAGCTGGACTGTCGTATTCAGCATTTATTTCTCCATGCCCATGAGTGAAGGTTGCCCCCCACTCCTGTATGACACATACTGGGAGGAAGCCAGGTGGGTGCCTGCTTAGGGTTTCTGTTTGGCAGGGACTTTTTCCCTCCTCTGAGCCCCATTTCTCCCAGCTCCTAACTGAAGCGTGTTCTGGGAGGGCTCCAACCGTGTTTGTAGCTTAGCCCAAAAGCATTTGAATATTACCTCCAGCCGCTGTAGGCAATGATCAATGATCAATAGAGTTGTGATGAGCTGATCATAGGCTTAACTCCGGCCTGGTTGGCATGAGTGCGTCCGCCATCTTGGTTTGTGTAGCGCTGTCTGGTAAAAGCTGAATTCTGCAGGTATAATCAGATGAGGCAGTCCGAGGCTCTCCAGTGGAGACTGGGATGACCCCCACCGGTCCAAAGGGGCAGGGGGGGGTAGAAGTCCAGCAGGACTGTGCGAGGAGTGTAGAAGCAGGAGGAGCGGCAGCCTCATCCAACTCCAGAGCAAACAGGCTGCAGTGCAGGGTATCGGGTCCCCAGCATTAACAGGTTTCAGTGAGGTGTTGGGTAAATCGTCTGTGCACCCCCAATGTGGGTGGTGCACCCACGTGAGTTTTGTGGCTTGAGGGTTGGTCATATGACCCCCATTTTATCGATTTAGACGGGAGCTCTCACTGCACCCGTACAAACAACCTGAAGGTCATGCTCCGCCCTCTTATATGCATTCTTATGCAATATTAGTTTTGTGTTATCAATTATTATATATTATTATTAGTTTCTTCTTCTGCTTCTTCTTCTTTTTCTTCTTCTTCTTCTTCTTCTTATTATTACCATTGTCAGTGTTAAAACAGTTATTTTGTCAATGTGTTATATCAACCAAAAGAATAGAAAAGCAATAGTAGAAAAAAATACATTAAATCCCATAGATAGATAATTTTCAATTAGTGTGTTATATTTAACCCCTTAAGGATGGTGGGTGTTCCCTGGGGACCCGGCTTTAAACTCAGGCGGGTGGCAAAGAATGCCCAAGCCGTTCTATGTACTTACCCAGTCGCCAGCGATCCCACACCGGCGATCGTGGTGTGGGGACTCACCTGGGAGCCCAGGGAGTCCCCCTCCTTCCTCTTCGGCCCCCCTGGGCCATGTGATGGCGAGGTCCTTGCACGGACCTCGCCATCACATGGACGGCATAGCCGTCCAAGGCAGTGCCAGCAGGGAGAGTGCCTGTAATGACAGGTACTCCCCCTGCTGCCTGTAAATAGTAAAATACATGTTAAAGTTACAGTTTAAAATAAAATATATACTTAGATCATATATATATACATACATACACATACACTGTCTAAGTGTATTTTAATATTTAAAAATATAATTATATATATATATATATATATATATATATATATTAATATCAAAATACATGTACAATTCTATTGATTAAATAAATATATAATTTTCATTATATATATTTATATATAATATAAAATAAATAAATATGTAAATACGTTAAAAAAATAAAAAAATAATAAAATAAATAAATTATATATATGTGTGTGTGTAAATTTGTTCTAACTGTATTTTATAATAAATATATATGTATATATATTGATATCAAAATACATGTAGAACGAAATAATATATATATATATATATATCTATATACCTAAGTATATATCACTATAAATATACCTATATATAAATGAAAATAATTTTAAAAAATTATATACATATATATTTACACACGTATATATACACACGTATATATATATATATATATATATAATTCTACGTATATATTTATGTAATAATTTTACATAATTAGGTCATTTTATTAATTACAATTTGCGGGACGTGCCTGACAGCCCAGGCCAAAAGTCCAGGGAATTTAACTTGGGGGTACTGTTTTACTCGGTAGAATTCACTGAACACAAATTTTAGTGTTTCAAAACAGTAAAATGTATTACAATGATGATATCGTCAGTGAAAGTGACATTGTTTGCATTTTTCACACACAAATGGCACTTACACGGACGATATAATTGTTGTGATATGTTTTACTGTTTTGAAACACTAGTATTTGTGTTCAGCGAAGTCTCCCGAGTATAACAGTACCCCTCTTGTACAGGTTTTATGGTGTTTTCAAAAGTTACAGAGTCTAATATAAGACTTGCGTTTCAGTTTTTTCACATTGAAATTCGCTAGGTTGGTTATGTTGCCTTTGAGACCGTATGGTAGCCCAGGAATGAAAATTACCCCCATGATGGCATACCATTTGCAATAGTAGACAACCCAAGGTATTGCAAATGGGGTATGTCCAGTCTTTATTAGTAGCCACTTAGTCACAAACACTGGCCAAAATTGGGGTTCAAATTAGTTCTTTGCATTTTTCACACACAAACAAATATTAAGGCTAATGTTTGTGACCAAGTGGCTACTAAAAAAGACTGGACATACCCCATTTGCAATACCTTGGGTTGTCTACTACTGCAAATGGTGTGCCATCATGGGGGTAATTCTCATTCCTGGGCTACCATACGGTCTCAAAGGCAACGTAACCAATCTGGCAAATTTCAATGTGAAAAAACTGAAAAATGTAACATGCTATATTTGACCCTGTAACCTCCCAAAACACCATAAAACCTGTACATAGGGGGTACTGTTTTACATGTGAGACATCTCTGAATACAAATATGTGTATTTTATTGCAGTAAAAGCAAACAGTATTATGACATTCACAGTTAAAATGTCACATAGAACTAAAACTTTTTTAAAATATTTATTTTCTCCAATTTTTTATATTTTATTCATATTAAATTATGTTTCATAACTAAATACTTGACGTTAAATGAAAGCCCTGTTTCCCCTGAATAAAATTATATATAATAAGTGTGGCTGCATATAAAATGAAAGAGGCGAATTACGCCTGATCAGAAATATAGTGCAAATTCAAGTTTTTGTTTACGTTTTGTTTTGATCACAACGTGTACATTTGGCTCAGTCCTTAAGGGGTTAAGTTCAGAGGGTAGAACATTTCCCAGAAATATCCTTGAACTCACCTCGTAGATGTTTCTTGGAAATAAATACATTTCATCATAGCAATGTATTTTTTTTTTAACATAAACAAAGCAAATGTGTCTTGTATTTCCTTATAGTTATACTTTTCCATCCATCTTATTACATGCATGATCTTATTTGGAATCTATCCAGCTTCATAATGTAACTATATTATATGTTCAACGTCTGACTAAGGATTCGAGGACAAGCAACATTGTATTTCCTTCTAGCGTGGTGTTCCTTATTCAACATCAGTACCATATCATCATAATATTTTCATGATGTACGGCGGTACCTTTACATGCATCCACTCTATCACTTCCTTAGCAGTCTAATGTGAATGTTGAAACAAAATTGTGCCTCCAGCAGGCCACTACAATAATGAATGAAGGAAATGGGTATCATATGGCATCACATCAGACTTGCTCACTCACAAAGGTCATTTGCACAGATGTATCTAACACCATACCTTTAAGACTTGCTAGCTAAAATTCTCCCCAACTCGAAAGGTGAGTGGAGAGGAGAAAACAGCTCCATGGAAGGACTGGTTCCACTATTGTCTGCTATTTCTCAACTGCCTGGTACCCTGTATTATCACCAAAGTTTTCAAAGTAATAGAAAAAGGGAGATATGCATTCCTAGGTATGACTATTATAATAGCTCACTAAAATACAATACTAAATATAAACAATGGAAAAACAAAGCATTCAAAATGTTAAACTCAAAATTACAGAACAAATGTGCTAAAAAAATCAATATATCTTATTACACAAAGCTTTCATTGTATCCTTGCACTAGCCCTAGTGTGGTGGAATCTCGGTAAAAATAAATTTAGTAGGCCGAGATTACCACGTGGCATGTGTACGTGCATATGCTGACGTATCGATCAGTTGGTTGCACGAGGCAAGATACGATCAGTAGTGTACGGAGCATGTGCAAGAATACAGGATGTAGTATTCCCCTCCTCCATTGTGCTGGACAAGCCATGCGGTCAAGCAGGAAGTTAATTCTTATTTGTAATGATTGGTCAAGAGAATGTGCGGGTGGAGCTTAATATGGGAGGAGTTATGTGCCTATATAGGGAGCCTGCACTATTGTTCAGGGCTCAGAACTTGCTGTATTTTTGGTGACATTAGTCCCTCTGAGTCCCGATCGGTGATCCAATAAAGAATCTCTTCCTTCCTGAAGAAACCTGTGTCCATCCCTCTGTGCTTTGCTTCCGTCAGTTTCTCCGGTATCATTTGGTGCATTGGCCGGGAAGCTCATCGTTCAACGGTAGCTGAGAGGCAGAGGCGTGAGACGGTCTATCTTTGCCCACGTTCTCTACGGCTGCACCCCTGAACTTCTGCGTGGACCTCCCTTCGTCTCGGCGCCACTGGTCTGTTGTCCAGGAGATCATCGGCCTCTACGTAAGAAGTGCTGGGGTGTCCCCGTCGATGAGTGTGAACTCAGGTTCAGGAGCGAGGAGGTAAGACAACTGCTGTTTTAGACGGCAGACCCACTAGGGGTATACCGATTGTGCGGTAGGCCCAAAAGGGGTTTAAATCTGTGTATGGAATCTGCCCCCTCTGTCGGAGGGAAGGAGCGAAGGCGCACCGCTCGATCGAACGCTCTTTAGTAAGACCGTTTGATCTGGTTAGTCAGGCGGGGTCCTGTGTAAATAGCCCTAGCCGGACACCGGTGTCTTGTCTAGACTAGCGTTCTAGGGTGTATATTACGTTCGCTAGGTCGGAGGGACCGGGAGACTAAGCGGCGCCTGTGTAAATTCGGTTCGCTAGCTCTCAACCTATCTTGGCTAAGTGGGAAGGCGTGTAAATTTGGAACCCACTAGACTTTTGATAGAGTAAATAGACTAGAAGGGCAATTTTGTAAATTTCGCCCTCTAGTTCGCTATATGTGGTGTTTGGGCAGTGTGGCTAACCAAAGCGGGTGTATATAGTTTTAGGTAGTCCATTCAAGGTACTGGCCAATAGTTTAGTTGGGATTGTAAATGTGTTAAAGATTGTTAGTAAAGTGTATATCTTGTTAGATAGCGCGAGCTCAGCCGTCTAGCGAGAGTGTTAATAGTGTGTTGCTGTATCATAGTGCACGGTACCATAACCCTGTATATTTACTGACACTGTATATAAGTACTAATCATTGTCGTCTATTGCATGTTTAACACCGTAACCACTAATAATTGTATTGTGACCTTAAATTGTGCTTTGACCTATGCTAACCGTACTGTAACCGATACTAGTAAAAGACGATGTTACTGGGGTGTGTTATAGACGGGTAATTCATATATAGAGAATTATAGCGTGGGTGACTGTATAGTTTCGCCAAAGGGCATAATATTGATTATTTAGTGACTGGTGTAACAGCTGTGTGTGTACGGGAATTCCCTGAGTGATTATTGTGTTATTGTGTACGTTTCACTCGGTAACTGTACCACGTGGTGCTGTTGCCAGAGGAAACGGGTGTGACTGTTGAATAAGAACGCGTGCATAGTATTCGTTGTCAACGACGTTCCATTGATAAGTATGGGCGCGTCAGAGTCAACGATTTCGGATCCCTTAGGTTGTATGGTAAAGAATTTTAAAAAGGGATTCAAAACATGTGATTTTGGGGTTAAAATGTCTCCTGTACGTTTGGTCACTTTGTGCACTAGGGAGTGGCCTATTTTGGTTGCGGCATGGCCGCCGCGTGGCAGTTTGGATCCAACCCTGGTACAGCGTGTACACGTGGCTGTGTCAGGTAGGCCTGAACTTTACGGACAGTTTCCATACATTGATTGTTGGGGGCAGGCCGTAAACGACTCGCCAAAATGGATCCGGATATGCCACGAGGAGCAATGTCGCCTCATGGTGGCCAGGACTTGTTTGTCCACTAGGACTGGTGTTAGGCCCATTTTGGACACGCCCCCTGAGTCCGAGATCCCTTTGCCGCCCCCTTACTTTCCTTTAAGAGGAAGTGACGCGAATGCAGGAAGCTCTGCACCCCTTCCCCTATTGCCCCCATCCACTTCCGCTTCCTCCTCCAGTACAGAATCCACCCCCCCTCGTATTAAAACTCCCCTTCCGGAACCAGGACCAACCCCCATTAGATTTGAATATCCTGATTTGGCGCCACTTCAAACTTCCGGTCAAGCTTCTTCTAGCTCGGCTCGGAGTATACTATTCACTAACTTTTCCCAAAATCAAGTTCCCACATCCTCATGCCCTATTACCTCTCGACCGGAACCTTTAACTGACGCCCCTCCACGTAGCCCCATACTAACCCGACAACTGACCGGTACCCAACAATTAAAACATTATCAGATGCCTCTTCGTCTGAATCCTGGGTCAGCCTATATCGATGCCGCAGGTCAAATGGCACATGCTGACCCAGTCTTCGTATATGTCCCGTTCACGACTACCGATCTCTTGAATTGGAAGACCCACAATTCCTCGTACACTGAGAAACCACAAGCTATGACCGATCTGTTCACCTCGATAGTTCAGACACATAACCCGACATGGGCTGATTGCCAGCAGTTATTAATGACATTGTTCAATAATGAGGAAAGGACAAGGATTAACCAAGCGGCCATTAAGGCGCTAGAGGAGAGAGCCCGTGCTTTAAATCAAGCCAATCCGGCAGCATGGGCCGCAACACATTACCCTAACACCGATCCTGACTGGAATGTAAATGGCGCAGATATGGCTCAACTTAAAGCCTATAGAGATGCTATAATTGCTGGCATGAAAGCCGGAGGGAAGAAAGCTATTAACATGTAGAAGACAGTTGAGGTGATTCAGAAAAGTGATGAAGCGCCCAGTGTCTTTTATGACCGATTATTGGAGGCATACCGCTTGTATACCCCCTTTAATCCGGAAGGCGCTGATAATTCCCGAATGGTAAACTCCGCCTTTGTCAGCCAAGCTTACGGAGATATTAAGCGCAAGCTACAGAAATTAGAAGGGTTTGCAGGTATGTCTATCACCCAACTAATGGAGGTAGCGAACAAAGTATATATGAATAGGGAAACAGAAAGTAAGAAAGAGGAAGAGCGCAAGATGCGTAGAAAGGCAGATATGCTAGCGGTAGCGATCGCAGGCGTAGATAGACGGGGCCCAGATAGAGGCGATAGTAGATGGAATAGGGAGCCTTTGAGTAGGAATCAGTGCGCGTACTGTAAGGAAGAAGGGCATTGGAGGAACGAGTGTCCGCAAAGAGAGCAGTATGAGAGAGACTTACCCAGGGCAGGTTACGGAAACTTTAGAGGCAGAGCGAGAGGTAGAGGAGGCCCCGGAGGGAGTAATGGTAATAGAGGGAGTAATGGGAACAGAGGAAGTGTAAGGGAAGATAGGTACTATCCAGCAGCGCAA